GCGCCTCCATAGCCGTAGCCCTCCCAGATATGCCAACTCAGCCTTAGCATTCAGAATCAGCCTTTCCATTGGCGAAAACCTGATTAACACATAAATATGAATGCCGTTGTGGAGTGATGATCTTAGCGGCAATCTAGGCATTGAGAATCAACAGCCTGTCTCCCGCTTAAGAAAGCCCCTAAGCCCCAAGGCCTGGGACTTCTCATGCGGCTGTGGAGGAGCTTTTTTTTTGTACCCAAGAAGACGAATAGTGCAGTTGCGCTTATTTGTTTCTTTTCAGATTATACAAACATTGAGTTGGTCCGAGGCTCTGTGCCACGCTCGAGGGCCCCCCACGCCGTTGCCTGCGCCTGGGGCTTTTGTGGCCGGCTATCTGTTGACCCACCCGGTACGGCTTATTTTTAGATGAATCCATGCATTGAGTTGCTACATCAGCTTCGTGAAGGGCTTAGAGGATTGTTATAGGACAGAAGAGCTCCGCAAGAGGCAACCGAACGGGAAGCCGGCGCGCGTTGTCTAGGCTGCATGAGTGTACTGCGGACCTTCAACATCAGTTTTTGAGGGGTCTTACCGGAAACAGCAATGCTGAGTGTCATTGACCTCCATTCCTTCTGTTATGCCACCTGAACGGAGCAACTAGCAGGGGGGAGCGCCAGCTGCCGTCGCTGTTGTTTACTTGCAATTATAGTATTGTTCTGGACAGCTGCTGCAGCTCGCGGGCACCGTGGAATATCATGTTTCATTGTGTGCAGGTATTGCGTCTGAGTGGAGAGGAGAATGGCTACGGAAGAGCCCCATGCGGTTCCCACCGCGGGGCCTCAAGACGGCGTTCCGGATCTTCAAAGCAGCGACTCGGCAAGTACTGCAGAAGCAGTTGCTGCAGCAGCAGCTGCTGCAGCTGCTGCTGCTCAGCTAGCGGTAGGGACGAGCTCAACTGACGGGGGATATCAAGCTCATTCGTTTACGACTCTTTTTTTGATAGACTTCTCCTTCCTGAGGGCGGGCAACATCACGGAGGTTGTTGAGTGAGTCTAAATTCCCGTACTCTGTGTTGAATCTCCTTGCAGGATTACAACTGCCAATGTACTGTGTGGTTTCGCGGGAAGGGAAATGGCACTTCAAGTGGAGAGAGGCAGTCGAGTGCATGCTGGCACGGTATCCATTTGGTTTTTTTTCGGGCAGCTTCACTTGAAGGGTGTCGGTGGTCTGTGAGTGCTCCTCTGCAGAATCGCGTGGGTGGTGTTTGATGTGGCGACCCGACAGTCCCTTGAGGAAGTTTCTCTTCTCGTCCGGCCCGAGCAGCTCTTGGCGCCGGCTGAGGTTCTCACGAAGCTTGGGGTCACGCAGGAGCAGCTCTTTGCCGCATGTACGGTTGGCTTTTACCAGCGTCCTCCCTTTGACCACATATTCCTAGACAGCACTGCCTGTTCAAATGAAGTGAATTGTTCTCACCTTGCTCCTTCTCGCCTGTCGGTTGCGACAGCCTTGCGGTTCTGTGTCCTTGCACATTCTCAGTCACTTCTGCTCAACACTCGTCTTTTGTCATGTGCTGAGTACATGCTTCAAGTATCTTAAGTTGATTTTGGCTTGCTGACCTCTCAGCGACTCTGAGTGAAGTCATCCAGAAGCTCGACACGGCAGTCTTCCAGCGAAGCCAAGACGGCGTGAATCCCGCAATGCTCTGTGTCTATGAGCCGGAGAATTTGAAGGATTTCCGCGCATGTGCAGCTGCTCGCCAAGTGACTCTTTATCCCCACTTCGCGCAGGCTGTGATCTTGAAACGCGTAATCCAGCAATATCTGACAGGTACGTATGCGCAAAGGAAAGATAGACACTTTTAATGGTGACGACCGTAGGTGTAGGGGACGTGNTTTCCCGTTAGCCTTCGTGGAGCTTACCTCAAGTTGCATAGCACATTCTAGCTGGAGGCTCGCTCAAGACGGAATCAACGAGCAGGGACGGCTTTTCTTTTGATGCACCAAGAGACAGCCATTGTAACCCTGCTGGAACTGCTCAGCAGCGTGAAATCGCATTTTTACCGCGGTGACTGGATACTTGAGGTGAACATGCGTTTACGGCTTTTTTTAATACCTTGAGGCCTGATGTAGGAATATTGTACTGTTTAACCTGAGTGCGTCGCTGCGACTCATAATGCGCATAGTGGATATTGAAACATCAAGTTTCAGTCCTGCGTAGGCAGCAGTCTTTTTGGTGCGACTAGGTGCTCTGTGAGCGGTATGGACACTCCCAGCCCTGTGAGAATTGGAGCGTTCCGCCCTTGCGGCTCCTCACGGCGCCCGGGATACCGAAGGCATATGTTATATGCTTCCGACCACTAGTGCTGCTTACCATTCCCTCCAGCGCATTGGGGTCCATAAACCTTGTTGACACTTCAATCAGCGCCTGCTTGATTATTCAACCAGCCGGTGGAAGAGGCTGATGATCGTCGCGCTCGGCCTGTCGCTTTTTCGGCATACCATGATGGTGTGGCCGAAAAGGGACATGGCACCGTGGGGGATGCTTCATTCACTAAGCGGAGGGACCTTGTGCAGGGGTAGCTGTGGGTTGTGTGGGCGCTTCGGTGTTCTTGTTTGCAGTTAAGGGGGATGATCTGAAGAGCTTAAGCACGGCTGCGGGAGCTCTGCACTTGGCAGCACCAGAAGGGCGGGAGGATGGCCTGGCTGCGTGCCGGTGTATCTGCAGCATTTTGTTTTTGCTGCTCTCGAAGGGTCTCGTGCTGCTCAAGGAACATTCCGTCAACGTGGAAGACCCATCTGCCTTAGAGGCCCTCAAGCCGCTCGTGGCGCCGGCAGCAAATGGATTTTCTGGCGTTGGAACACATATTCGCCTGAGAGGACTTCCTTGGGACGTGACTGAAGATGCCATCGTCCGGTTCTTGAAGCCAGTTGTTGACGTTACAGAGTTGGATGTTTGTGTCTGCGTTGGCCTTAACGTACGCTATTATAGTGGCCGAAAGAGACCCTTTCTGAGTAGTTTTGAACTCCCAAATTCCCATCAAGATATTCCTGGCAGTAATGACTTTGCCGGGTATACATCCCTCCTGTGTATATATTTCAGTGGCAGTGCCGCTTCTTTTGCTGAACAGCGAGCAAATGTGTTAAACATGTAGCTACTTGCATTGGCATAGGGTGCACGTGTTCCGGCAGGAGTGCTGCTGTTTGATGTTGTTACGTCAGAAACGTGTGACAGGCGAGGCCTATGTGAACGTTCACTCGACAGACATGCGGGACGTGGCAGTTCGGACACTTCATGGTCGCATGATGGGTCCACGGTGGATAGAGGTAAGTAGTTTGCACTGCGCTCTTTTCCTCAGTGAAGTGGTGGGGCTTCTGCAGGGTTTTGTGAGCGCGGTCAGAGGGTCCGCTATGCTTGGAAATCAGTAATAGTTAGCGTGGCTTTGTTGTTGCTGGTCCATATATAGGCGCGTTTGCGTCATGTTTCTGCGTTTAACTAGGTGTTCCGGTCTAGCGCGGAAGACTTTGAAAGGGCCATGCAACGAAGGGTAGCTGTGATGAGCTCGGGCACGAGGGACGGCCGGGACGCTGATGTTAAGGGCCTGAACTTAGTGAGCCCTAATGCGGACGCTTTTTAAGGACGCCTCCACCTGGTTGTATGAACTAGATGCAACAACACGAGTCAGCTTGAGGCAGTGTGAAAGGGCGCAGTAATGATTGGTGTTTTTGCTGCAGACCGTGCTGAAATTACGGGGACTGCCGTGGACTTGCACTGACAACGACGTCGTCAACTTCTTTCAAGGTGTGTTGTATCTCCCCTTCGAAGGAGTGTCTTTTGCGGGACTTGAGATTTTGCAAATTTTCGGTCTTGCGTTGCCTAATGATTCTCTTCAGAGCATGGGTTCGAGATTGGGTTTGACTCGGTTGTCTTGGGGGTTGCGGTGGACGGAAGGATGAACGGGATCGCGTACGTCGAGCTTCCCGACGCTGCGACTGCAGACGCAGCGAAGGAGAAATTACACAGGAAATACCTTGGTCGGAGGTTTGTTGAGGTACGACGTCGGAGATTGCTGCTCCGCGTTTAACTCGAGTGTACTTAGATATGGAGCTCGATCTGCGTTGACCCACCAACAGGCATAGACTACGGAGTATCTGGGTCGCGCTTAAGGCCCAGGAGTTATTGCCTGCTTCTCTTTTGTCTTGCAGGTGTATCCGTCTACTCGAGAGGAAATGCATAGAGCGAAACGGCCAGGCAGAATGGTGCCATCTGAGATGGGTGTGGGAGCTATGCGCATTCAACGCCCAGTAAATGTGAGTTGTGGACCAGCCCCATGCCGTAACAATTTTTATGTGACTTTTACTTCCCTCTGATACGCGTGTACATCATGTGCCGTCATTGGTATCTCCGGTGCATTTCAGGCCCGCATGATGGGCGGAACTGCCCAAGGACCCTACAGCGGTGGGTACGGAGCAGGACCCCAGCCATATGGAGCCATGGGGGGAGGTATGGCTTCCACCCAAGCTTACGGAGGCATGGATGGTATGGGCGGTCCACAAGGAAGCTACGCAAGCTACGGCGCCCCCAGCCATGATGTATACGGAGGGTATGGGGGCGCAGTTCAGCAAGCCGCCTATAGCCAAGCATCTCCACAAGTTGCGCAGCCGGCGCCTGCACAGGATGTAGGCCCCGTCCCTGCTGGATGGGGTTACACTGTCTTGAGACTCCGGGGAATGCCCTTCAATGCTAATGAACAACATATTGTGGTGGGTCACCAGCAAAGGCAGATTCTAGGATCGCTATTAGGCAGAGGCAACGAATCTTGCTGCATTTTGCGTCGTCCTTGATGGTCAGATCGACTAGCACTTCACTTCGTCCGCTTGTTTGTCAGCAATTTTTCCAAGGCTTCCATATGACGGCAATTCTCCCGTCTACGATCCCGATAGATGGCCGGCCTTCTGGAGAGGCTTATGTCCAGTTTTCTGACGTTAATGAGACCTGGAGAGCCTTACAAACGAGGAATGGCGCTCGAATGGACAGGAGATACATTGAGCTCTTCCCTGCAAGCAAACAAGAAATGACATTTGCAGCACAAGGAGGAGACCCGCGAGGTGGGCCGGGTGATGCAGGTTGCCACAGGGCATGCATTTTGTACTGACATTTTGTGTTTGTAGACGCACTCGGCTGACATTTTCAGTGCTGCATGCGTATGCATGACTTCGTCGTTGTGGTGGGCTCTCTTGTTACTGGCTTTGTTGCTTCTCGTTGTGGCTTTTGCAGCGTTTCGGGAGCGGGACAGAACCTTTTGACTTTTAGCACCTTGTTCCTGTTTTCATATCTACGGGAAGACGTGCGGGATCCAGCTTAACGAATTTGTGTTGCATTCAATGGAAGGGATTGCCCTGTAGACAGGAGTGCGAGCTGTTGGCTTGGAAGGGTTTGCAGCGCCTAGGCGACTTTCCACAGGCTCCTTTTCTCGTAATTTTTGGAGCTGGAGGAAGGGAACAGTATGGATTTTGCCGACGATGCGTACGACCTCACCAAGTTACGGCTGTATTCTTTTCCCTGGCAGATGCAGAAGGGCATTTGCGAGCTGGTGCATTCGTTGTTGCCGAACTGGCATCGAAATGTCCTACTTGCAGGCTTCTTAGTACAAAACTGAGAGTGTGGCTGAGGGTTGATGTCCGCAAAAATTTGAGCAAGCTGCAAAAAAAATTTGTCTGCGCTCGTTTTGGCTTCGAGTTTCTGGCTGCTTTCTTCTCGCTTCTCCAGTATGAGCGCGTTGATGAGTAGCACTCTGCGTACCCAGATTACATTTGTGTAGGGCCAAGTGATGCAAGGAACCGCGCTGTTTCGCCTTTCTAGCGGGCTCACTAGCGTCAGCGGCAGATTGTATGCGGCGCTACCTTAGGGATTCGTCGGGCGGACGACGAGTAACTACGCACTTTTCCTTTGAAGAAGCGGCTGAGTGCGGAATCTGGTCAGGGTTACGACGTTCCCACAGTCCTTCAAGTGCCTATTCCACAGTAGCAGGATCGGTACCGGACCGGAAAGGTTCCCTGGACGCTCCAGTCCCGCAAACGCTACGGCAACTGTGCTATACTGTCAGTGCCCGGTGATTGTTTTCTTCAGACGAAGGGCCTGAGATGATACTGTCACACAAGGACACAACGGATACAGTAGCCTAGATGGAAACGATCCACAAACGTTGTGACTCCAATAGCATATACGTTAAATGGGTCTGCTGAGTAGTGGAGTAAGCACGAACGTGCTCACCGTCCGAAACATCTGTGTACCTACCACTGCAAGGCGGTTGGGCCGTGCGGCTTGCGCTCTCGGGGAACTTTGCATCATGCAGCGTCAGGGAGTTTGCGCCACTTTCCTAGCATAGCCATCTGCTACAGTAGACTTTCCGACATGATTGCAGTTTTTTAAAGCAGTTTTGATAGGACTGTCTGGACTGTTTGCAATTAGTTGCTATCCACGCAGCCGTGGTGGAAGGTTCAAGGGGAAGGTCAGGATGTATGCTTGAAAGCTCCACCACTGGAGGGGAAGGGGAAGGGCTAACGTTTAAAATGCATTACTACGCTGCGTGCTGTTCAACATGGCGGCGTCGCATACAGAGATATGCCGGTCTCCGCAGGTCTCGAAACGCTTGGATCTTAAGGCGATTGTACGGAGACTTCGTCGTGACCTTTCAAAGCGTGCATGCGGCTGTCAGCTGCTACCACCACCACTACCATGAGATTAACATCTTCAAGGTCTCCGATGAAGTCAGGCAATTTTTGGACCATCCGAGAAGTTGGGCTTTCCGCCTCTGTATTGCATTGTGGTTTGCTTCCTGCGCTAGGGAGTATTGCATCACGGGCGCAGGTGATGCAACACCTCACCGCATAGTGCAGCCCTCAGGAGGCTCAGCTCACACTTCACATACAGCCGCTCCGATCAAACTCAGTGCTTCCTGATCCTCAAAATCCCTTTGGAAGTTTGCGCACGTGCACGCTCATTCCAAGAATGCAAGCAGGGTACCAGCAGCCCTAGGCAGGATTCTCCGAAAGTCGTAGACCCTGTGATTTTATATTCTGTTGGTCTTCAAGGCGTGGTGTGCCTAGATCGGATACCCACTTCCGTGACCATAGTGGTTTCCTTCCGCCAGATGCATGGGGATTGCAAAGTTCATAGTTAGGATCCCTTTACTGCCCATAACGAAAGCTGGGAGACGAAGATGACTTTACGCTTGTACTAGAGCTCCAGAATGCCCAATATCAACGCAGTAGCTGTTTGCGGATATGCTCTGCTTAATCCTTATTTAGTGTAGGGGACTAAGTAGCTTTTCTCTCGCTTCTTTTCTAAGTCAGCGCACCTTGCCTTATACCCCCCACATGTCTCAACGCAAGAAGTGGGCAACTCTTGAACGGGAAACTGTTTTTCGACTGTGATTGCTTGCGTTAGATTGACTGGTATGAACAGGAAAGGAGGAACCTGCGGTTCGTCATGTTGCACGAAGTGTCGAGTTTGTAAATGCACTTCTACTTGTTTGCAGGCTGGCTACTGAGGGCAACATCAAGCATTCAACTATTGCCTACAGTATTACCACATATCAAGAAGGGCTTGGGTAGTTGCTTGTCGGGGCAGCAAAGTGTACTGCAACTATGACACGCCGACTCCTTACCAGTCCCAGACCCCTATGCCGCCGTCCAAATAAGGGCTTGATTGGAGAAGCAACCTAAGGCTTTGGGGGAATCATATATGAATTGGTTTGACTCTCTTCCAACTCACGAGGGTCATCGGCTAATCTCGAGGGTCCCTCGCATTAGGCCTAGCACTTTGAAGCTGGCGCATGCACTTCTACTTGCATGCAGGTTGCAATTGTCTACACCGTTAGTGAACGCATCAAAAGGGGGAAGTTGGTCATGCTTGCATGAGGGTTTGCCGTGCAGCACAATTGCAGCAAGAAGTGCTGCGAATCATAAGGGCCGCCCCCTTCTACCCTAGAGGAGCGGGCGTTTGTGCCGTGGTACCCAGGAGGACGCCTGGAGACTCCACAGCTAGCTGCCTAGAGTGTCAACGTCTACGGCGTATATACTCAGAAAAAACGTGTACGCTCTGAAAGGATAGGACTATGGGTAATGTACGGGAAGTTAACAGGGATGACTCATGACCCACTACACAACCGTAATTGTCAGTAAAGACCCTAGTGTAGAAAACGCGATCCAAGTGCCCTGCTTGCACCCCAGTACTTTTCGTCCAGGTCATCTTAGCAAACGTGCTCAATTGTATCCCTGGAGCTTAGTTTAGGGGGTGTGTTAGATCGGCATTTTAACATTGTGCGTTTCCTCACACGTTTGTTTCGTCAGCTGGGTCCACCCGCTGCTACAAAGGGTCTGGAATGGTGGCAGCTGAGACGCCACCGACGACGCCCCCGTGACCTCTCAACAGCATTGACTTGCTAGTGCTCACTGGGATTAATCAATACTGTTCACAGGCTTATCAACGTAGACGACTTAAAAGTGCTTAGTGGGGTTGAGGNTCGTCATCTGTCCTCCAAGGGGTCCATGAGGGTCCAAGAAAACATTTCGGAGAAAACTTCATACAGAACATTTTACGCTTAAGTTCAATGATCTCTTCATCTGCGGGCTCACCGCCAAGCTTGTACATTTCCAGGGCTGCACTCAGCTGCTTTGCTAGTGTATAGTAGAATCCGTACTTTCCCTCAACAGGAAGCCGGGGAATGTGCGAGTACCTCGTAGGCACGCTCGCAACCATTGCGTCCCACAATTTTCTCAGCTCTTCAGTTTCCCCGACCACGCGCAAAACTGCATAGAAAGCATTGAACACCAAGAATCGACGCCCCAATGATTCTGCTGCTCCAGAAGGCTTCATGCTGTCAACAGAAGAAGCCATAGAAAAAAGAGCGCGAGTGGCTAGCTTCTGCGCGGCACTGACCATTTGATTTGCCTCCTGGAGAGTGATCATTCCTTGCAGGGAGATGCGTCTGATGACTTTAAGGTTATTAATTAATGGCTCATATCTCCCACAGTCATCCCAATGGTCTAATATGATATCTTCCGGTCTTACATCTGGATTCAGCGTCGGCAACCGAACAAACGGATGGACCAATATTTCGGATCCCACATATGAAGGCTGTACGGTTGCTGCTGTAGAGCTGATTTCAGTAGGCCCGCCACTGGGGGGCGCTAAAATACGTGGTTTCATCAGCAACGCCCGCCTTGTCAGGTTCCTCTGCTGTGCCCCGCTTCCCGAATCATCGTGAGACGCTGGCCCTCGTTGATGCATTTGCGTTTGACCCCACGCAGATCCATCTGGCTTGGCTGACGCTCCAGAGGACCGTGGCGCTGCTGACAGTGTTGAAGCTTCATCAAAGCTCTGATGTAAAAGCTCAGGTGAGGCCGCTCCAACCGCCTCACCCGGATGCAGCATTTTGCGCTGGCGCTGTAAACGTTGGAGAGGGGGGAGCGCCGGCAGCGCCTGCTGCGAACTCTGTCCCCACAAACCCTGGGTTTCAACCCCGGGGTGATGAGCAAAAAGGCTAGGCAAAAACGAAACACCGGGGGGGAATATGCTTGTAGGGAANAAGTCGCCAACCCTATGCTGAATAGCCCCTGGATGAATTTGCACAACGCTACCCTCAGGAGCGCGAGCTCTCCCTACAGTGGCCTCGCCCTCGCCCGCAGATGCATCAGCCTCCCAACCGCGAGCCGCAGCCGTCTCACCAGAACCGATTTGCAGATGCTTGTCTCCACCCACTCCAATATTACTTTGTTGAGCGAATTGAAGTGCCGGCGTCATACGCGAGGCGGTCGCCGGTTGAAGAAGTGGGGGTGCGCTTTCGGGCCCCTCCTCTTCAGATCTTGAAACAACCTCTGAAAGAACATCTGATGCGGTTGAAACGTCGTGGAGAGGAGCAGCAGGATTCCACTCACCCAGTTGAGCGCAAAGCGACGCGAGTTCTTCTGCATCCAGATTAGTCCAGTTGACGGCGTCAAATAGTGGGTTTTGCGAGGAAGGAGACCCATGTCTTTCGTCACCAGCTGCAAGTCGCCTGACTGTGGCACCTCCATTGATTTTTTGAACGAAACCGCAAAGTGAAAACAACACAGACACACCTACAGCAACGGCGAAGATAAGCCAAGATATGGTGGAACCGGCCCTTGATCGCACCCGGTGCTGTACCCGTATATTCTCCGCCTGTATATCGGAACCGTTTAAGCTGGGTAGATTCTCTGCAGCCTCCCGCCCGTCAAAGCGCCAATACGGCCCTGAGTTGTGGTGAAGTGGCAAAGGCGGCAACTCAGGCCCTGCAGCGAAGGCCTGGTTCATGGCTGTTCAGCGCAGACAGATGTCCGAAAAGAACAAACGCTTCCTGCGAATATTTGTTCCAAAACATATAAATGAACGTCAAAATGTGCATATATGTACACTTCCGCTGTAGACAGCTCATCATGCCACGGGGTGACTTGATACGAGAAGCTGAATACACTGAATTTCGCCACTCAAAAGCCACATATCCAGCTCCACTACAACATATTTTTTAAGGCATTGCCTCCAAGAGTATTGCTGTTGGTAATTTTGGAACGTTGTGTGCCTACGTTTGACTGAGACGGCCGCTCCCTTCGAGCGCGCTCTCGGCGCTCGACACCCTACGCTCAAGGCTTCGTGCGTAAATCGTTCACTTCTTGTTGAAACATTAACTGTTCAAATAGCTTTCTCTTGTACTTTGGCACCGTTGAAGGATTCCTAGTGTAGTTGGCACGATCCGTGCCTCAGCTCGATGCACCCGCAAACATTCCACCACAGCTTCGATGTTTTGCCCCCTCTTGTATTCGTCAAACTTGTCGCTTTTACCTGGTCCAAGGAGCTGAATAGCTGAATACTTGTAATATTTCGAGTCAGTGCCTCGTGCATTACTTATTCTTCCCCATAAAGTTCTAGAGAATTCGTGCTCCAATGTATGCTCGTCGTGCGAAGAACACGGGGAGGCGTAAGACTGAATGTCTCGATCCGCCAAAGAAGTTCGTGCCACAAGTAACGGGTAATTCATAGGATTGATAAACGAAATTTCCGTTTTGATACAGATGGGACAAGCATCTCAGTTGAGCTCTCCTGCTGCAGACGCTGAAGGCGCGATAACAGGTTGAGAAGGCCGTGTAGATCTCGACTATGTAGACAAGCGCAGCAACGGGAACCTCCCTGCAGAAGCTTCTGCAGCCGCAGGCAGCCAATTTTGGTAGGCAAAGCAGTACTCCGACCCTGCATGTTTTGTTTTTGCCAA